AGATGCAAAAGATATAAAGACATGACAGCATCATGATTGATATCATCACCGTTTTCGTCATCGTCCTCATCTTTTTCATATATGTTTTAAAAGTCATGTTCGGCCCGATTAGAGATGCAGCCGACGCGTAGTCACATTTATCATCATGACTGTTGGTGATGCTGAGGATGCGTCATGATAATTATCATCCGATTTGAGATGCAAAAGATACCTGGACATGATTATCATCATCATCATAATTTTTGAGGCCAGCGTATGACTACTGGCAGGCGTAACCAGGTTTGTGCATCATTCTCATTATCATCACCTTTTGACTCCTCGCCCTCATCTTTTTCATACACGTTTCAAAAATGACATTCGACCCGATTGGAGACGCAGCCGATGTGTATCATCATAACTGCTGGTGATGCTGAGGATGCGTCGGGATAATTATCATCCGATTTGAGATGCAAGAGATGCCCGGACATGATAGCATCATGATTGATATCATGACCTTCTTCCTCATCGTCCTCATCTTTTTATATACGTTTCAACAGTCGCGTTCGGCCCGATTAGAGATGCAGCCGACGCATAGTCACGCTTATCAGCATAACGGCTGATGATGTTGAGGATGCATCGTGATAATTATTATCCGATTTGAGATGCATGGACATGATTTGCATCATCATCATCATAATCTTTGAGGCCAGCAAATGACTACTGGCAGGAGCAATCAGATTTGTTCATCATTCTCTTCTTCCTCCTCGTCCTTATCTTTTGCATAACGTTCGACCCGATTGGAGATGCAATCGATGCGTAGTCATGCTTATCATCATGATTGCATCGTCCTCATCTTTTCCATACACGTTTTAACAGTCACGTTCGGCCCGATTAAAGGTGCAGCCGATGCGTAGTCACGCTTATCATCGTGACTGCTGGTGATGCTGAGGATGCGTCGGGATGATTATCATCCGATTTGAGATGCAAGAGATGCGTGGACATGATAACATCATGATTGATATCATCACCTTCTTCCTCATCGTCCTCATCTTTGTCATTTACATTTCAATAGTCACGTTCGGCCCGATTAGAGATGCAGCCGATGCGTAGTCATGCTTACCATCATGCCTGCTGGTGATGCTGAGGATACGTCGAGATGCAAAAGATGCATGACATGATAATATCATGATTGATATTATCGCCTTCTTTGCCATCGTCTTCATCTTTTTCATATACGATGCAATTGTCACGTTCGGCCCGATTAGAGATGCAGCCAACGCGAAGTCATGCTTATCATCACGACTGTTGGTGATGCTGACGATGCGTCGGGATAATTATCCGCCGATTTGAGATGCAAGATATGCATGGACATGATAGCATCATGATTGATATCACCGCCTTCTTCGTCATCGTCCTCATCTTTTTCACACACGTTTAAAAAATCACGTTCGACCGATTAAAGATGCAGCCGCCGATGCATAGTCACGGTTTTCATCACGATTGCTAGTAATGCTGAGGATGCGTCGCGACGATTAGCATCCGATTTGAGCCGCAAGAGATGCATGGACATAATTATCATCATCATCATAATGTTTTGCGGCCAGCGTATGACTACTGGCAAGAGCAGCCAGGTTTGTTCATCAATCTAATTATCATCATTTTCTTCCTCATCGTCCCCGTCCTTTTCACAAATGTTTTAACAGTGACGTTCGACCTAATTGGAGATGCAGCCGATGCTTATGATCATAATTGCTGGTGATGTTGAGGATGCACCGGGATGATTATCATCCGATTTGAGATGCAAGAGATGCCCGGACATGATAGCATCATGTTTGATATCATCACCTTCTTCCTCATCGTCCTCATCTTTTTCACACACGTGTCAATAATGACATTCGGCCCAGCCGATGCGTAGTCATGTTTATTATTATGACTGCTAGATATTGAGGATGAGATGCATGAACATGAAAACATCATAATTGATATTATCACCTTCTTCCTCATCGTCCTCATTTTTCTATATATGTTTCAAAAGTCACGTTCGGCCCGATTAGAGATGCAGCCGATCTGTAGTCATGCTTACTATCATGACAGCTGGTGATGCTGAGGATACGTCATGATGATTATTATCTGATTTGAGATGCAAGAGATGCATGGACATGATAACATCATGATTGATATTATCATCTTCTTCGTCATCATCTTCTTTATATATGTTTCGAAAGTCACATTCGGCCCGATTAGAGATGCAGCCGATGCGTAACCATGCTTATAATTATGATTATTGGTGATGCTAAGGATGCGTCGTGATGACTATCATCCGATTTGAGACGCAAGAGATCAAAAACTCACGTTCGGCCCGATTAGAGATGCAGCCGATACGTAGACATGCTTATTATCATGATTGCTGGTGATGCTGAGGATATATCGTACTGATTATCATTCGATTTGAGACGCAAGAGCAGCATCATCATGGTCGTACCTATTGGCAGGATCAACTAGGTTTCCCGATCACGCCGTCATCATTATGGTGCTTATCATCAACACCTTCTTCGTCATCGCCCTCATCCTTTTCTTAGATGCAGAAAATGCGTAGTCACGACTATTATCGTGCTGAGGGTTTTGGAAGGACTATAGGGTCTTATTGAGGCGGCCGCTGTGGGCCCGGAATTTTTTTCCGGGCCCGCAGCGACAATTCGGGGCATCGGGGGTATGTGCTGCCAATTCATGAAGATAAATAATTCTTGCATACCAGCTGCGTCTAGTGAGCGACGCTTTGAAGATAAATAGTCATTGAATACTAGCTGCGTCCGGCGAACGTAACTTCAACATAGAAATATATTTATTCCTTCTATAACGATATTGCACGGGCTTTGCCTGGATATCAAAAAATGCAGCCGATGCGTAATCATGCGTATCATCATGGCGTCTTGATGATTATCATCCGATTTGAGACGCAAGAGATATATGGACATGATAACATCATGATTGACATTATCATTTTCTTCGACATCGTCTTCATCTTTTTTATATATGTTTCAAAAGTCACGTTCGGCCCGATTAGAGATACAGCCGATGCGTAATCATGTTTCTCATTATGATTGCTGGTAATGCTGAGGATGCGTCGTGATGATTATTATCCGATTTGAGATGCAAAAGATGAAAAAAATCACGTTCGGCCCGATTAGAGATGCAGCCGATGCGTAGACACGCTTATCATCATCATGATTTCTGGTGATACTGAGGATGCGTCCTGATGATTATCATCTGCTTTGAAATGCAAGAGATGCGTGGACATGATAACATCATGATTGATATAATCATTTTCTTTGTTATCGCCCTCATCTTTTTCATACACGTCACCTTCTTCGTTATCGTCTTCATCTTTTTCATATACGTTTCAAAAATCATATTGTGCCCGATTAGAGATGCAGCCGATGCGTAATCACGCTTATTCTCATAACTGTTGGTAATGTTGAGGATGCATCGTGATAATTGTCATCCGATTTGAGACATAAGAAATGCATAGACAATTATCATCCGATCTGAGTCATCGTCATTATCTTTTTTTATATATGTTTAAAAAATCACGTTCTTCCCGATTGGAGATGCAGCCGATGCATAATCATGCTTATCATTAGAATGATTGCTGGTGATGCTGAGGATGCGTCGTGATGATTATCATCCAATTTGAGACGCAAGAGATCAAAAAGTCACGTTCTGCCCGATTAGAGATGCAGTCGATGCATAAACATGCTTATCATCATGACTGCTGGTGATGCTAAGGATATGTCATATTGATTATTATTGGATTTGAGACGCAAGAACAGCATCATCATGGTCGTAATCTTTGAGGCCAACATATACTTATTGACAGGATTAACCAGGTTTCTCGATCATACCATCATCATCATGGTATTTATCATCATCACCTTCTTCGTCATCGCCCTCATCTTTTTCTTAGATGCAGAAAATGCATAGTCACGACTATCATCGTGCTGAGGGTTTTGGAAGGGCTATAGGGTCTTATTAAGGCGACCGCTACGGGCCCGGAAAACTTCGGAAAATTTCCGGGCCCACAACGACAATTCGGGACATCGGGGGTATATGCAGCGAACTCATGAAGATAAATAATTCTTGCCTATCAACTACGTCCAACGAGCGACGCTTTAATTAAATACCAGCTGCGTCCAGTAACCGACACTCCAACATAACTTCTGCATGGAGATATATCTGTTCCTTCCCTAACGATATTATTCGGATTTTGCCTAAATATTAATTAAAAATTATATATTATTTATTTTTGTTTTTTTTTTTTAAAACAAAAAACAAAAAACTAAGGATAATAATGAAGAAATAATGATAATAAACACTATGATGATGATAATGTGACTAGGAAACCGGATTAATTCTATTAATAATTATATATTTGTTTAAAATTTACAATTATAATAATATTATTTTTAGTATTATTAGCAATTATAATGATAAATATAATTATATATTGGTTATATTTTTAATCGAATTAAATGTAATTTTTAAAATATATATAAAAATAATAAAAATAATGGTGAAGAAAATCATAATGTTAATTATAATATTAACATGTTTATATATGTTTTATATCTTAAATCGAATAATAATTATTAAAATATATTTTCAGCATTATTACTAACCATAATAATAAACATAATTATGTATTAACTACATCTCATAATTATCACCATACAAAAAATCTTAAAAAACCTATAAAATCTTACTAAAACAATCGTTCTAGGGAAAAAAACATGATTTTCAGGCCTTCTAATATATATATATATACAATTCCAATCACAAAACACTACTATTTATAATGTGTTATTTTCTTCTGCAAAAAAGCATAATCCGACTAGAAATCTTAAATCCAAAAAATATATATTCATTATTATTTCAAAATACGTATAGTATTGTAAATGTTGTCCCAGCAAGAAAGGTGTTTGATGGTATTCATCATTCCTTCAGCTTCAGGCAAACACGGCCCGTCAAAGCGGAATGCATCTCAGAGCACGGCGCTTCCTTGCGTAAAAAAGCTCTTGGGGAGTGAAAACTGAACCGTCTAACTGGTTTTCTTGAAGCGGATCCGATGGTTCATTCCCAAAACTCTAGAGATGGACATGGTTCATGCTTGGCACTTGGAAACGCCGGAAATATTTTTCTTAAAACAATGATTGGACAAAAAACCTCGGTTGATCCAATCACATGTTTTCAGTTGGGCAGGCTCCCCACACCCATTTCAGTATATGTTGGCCATGCCGCTGAACTATGACTGGTGATTCGGGTGCGCAGCTCAGTTTGGTTTTCTTCCAGACCCACATCACCAGAAACACGTCCTTGGCAACGCTCTTCCTGCCTGGACCATACCTCAAGAAGTCGGTCCACACGCTTCAGGATCTTTTGATATCGGTTTCTCGCTTCCTGGGCAGTCGATGCGCAACACTTCATGAGCCACAGAGCAGGCCTCAGCGCCAGGTTCGTAAATGGATTCTTGCCGTTGCAAGGCCTGGTGCAGGCTGGATTGCTCGATCCCGGCATCTGTATCCTTCAAGCCTCCTCCTGTGCCATCTTCCGGCGATTCCAGCGTTCAAGCTGCTTTTCTTGTCGGCCTGTCCAGGATGATGGACTTGAATCTTTGCAAGGTTCAGGTCCGCGCCTCCCTGTGCCGCTTCCAAAGCTTGCAACCGGAATGCTGCGGCCTGGCCAGTTTGCAGCTGGCACCAGCACCAACTTGATATACCTCTGCACTTTGAGATCATGCATCCCCACGAATGCACCAGTGTTCAATGACCGTCTTGTCTGAATTGTCACCGGGCTCTTGGAGCCTATTGCATGTGTGCCATCTCACAATGTTGCTGTCCATTCAGAACTGAACCGTGACACACACACACACAGAGAAAAAAACACATTCTTCGTGGACTTGCCGACTCGCCTCCATGTCCTTCCGACACTTGACCTCGCTGCACTCTGCTATGCAGGCCGCCTAGAGCGCGTAGAACTAAACGTCACGCAATGGCAAAGCTTTGCAAAGCAAGCGCCAGCCTCCGCAACAGCTTCCAGGTAGGAGCTGCGGATGCGTGCCCAGGTAGCCGCAATTTCTTCCGGGCTCAGGACCTCGTGACGTAGATCCCAAGGTTGTTGAGGCTACCCCTTTGTTGGGTTGTTTTAAGTGGACGCCAAAAGGAAAACCAGCAAATTTGGGGTCCCCTAACAAAGCCACAACCAGTTTGGGGGCTCAGCCCCAAATTTCGAAACGGCCAACCCAAAGCGCGCCTGGAGAACAGAGCCACGCCGGAGCACATGGCCTCGTGCATCGCTGAGGCGTCTCCAGGCGCGAAGCCCTGCGTCCATGGCCTGCCGAGGCTTTCGCTGCTCCGCCCAGATATGGCCATGGGTGAACATCCCAATCGCCACTAAAATAGGTTCTAAAATGGGTGGTGCACCTCTACCCCAAAATGGTACCATTGGTTTTGACCCACAGCCATATGGTTTTTCATTTTCGTTTCCCAACAAGGGCACCTGAACAAAGACACGGCCCTGTTACTCATCCTCTGCATTGGGGCTTCGCCAAGGCCTGTCCCTCAGCCAGGAATGGAGGCGTCACCAGTGGCCTGGTCGAATCTCAAAGCGACCCAGCCCTGAACAATCTGAGCACGTTGAAATTATTGAAAATCAAGTGACACATGAGCGACAAAGAACATCTTAATGCCTCAAGAACTGAGCCACCAATGAACAAAGGGCGCCTTGGCAGCCAAAGTGACGCCATGACGACGCAAAAGCGTAATCCCATGGCCTCAGCCGCTGACATTCCGATGTGAATGGTCGCCGGAAGAGCCATATGTTGGCATGTTTCTTTGCCTCCCCGTTGACAAGCCCAAAAAACGGTTCAGCGTGGAGAATCCTAATTTCACATGTGCAAAGTGTCACTTTTCTTCAACACCTCCCAGACCTCGGGGCTGGACGCGCGGCTCGAGTCCATGCTCTTCAAGGCACTCCACCAGGACGGTTCTGAACCTAGCAGCCGAAAGAAGTTCTCGCCCGAGCTGGGAGATTCCTCTTAAACAAATGTTGTTTTTTCAGGTTCCATTGTTTCATTCAGGTCGGAGTGTATGGCAAGTCCCCGGCCTGTCTTCAAAGTCAGCTTGCTCCACGCCCTCCATGCGCTGCTTGAAATCCACCTAAGCTGATTGGCACATGGGGATCGGACACGTGCGGCACGCAACACAAACCCTTACAATCTGTTGACAAATTGTCAGTTGACCTCACCATTGATTGCTAATGACTCTCAAACAACTGCTGATTCATTCTCAGGCATTCGCCAACGCAGTGCGAAAATCTCGCGCAACCTGGTGCACGTCTCGGATCACAATGCACAGCTCTGCTTCCTATCTTGCACAAAGCCTCCAGACTCTGATGCTCCTTGGTCAGAAGCCGAACTCGTCCGATGGTCACTATCGCAGAGTAGCGCGCCTAGACAACACCCGTGCTGGCAACCAGCAAAGCTTGGAGGAGAGACTGCCTGTTCTCCAAGCTTGGAGTGCACCACCAGGCCCGGCACATGCCTGAGTGCGCAATCGGATGGCTGTGGCCACTGGAGCAAAACCATTGACTCTCAAATCGTTTTTCCTCCAAGGTGCCAGCAAGGAACGACCAAATCATATCCAGTTTTAACAGAGGATCCAAATCCAACAGTCAATGCAACTTGCAACATGACAGAATATTTCGCTTGAGGATTTTATGTTGGGCCCTATCATAATCTGTTGCGCGTCCCGCTGTAAGATCCCTGCGCAATGCCCTCTTTGTCGCGGAACACGGCCGCCAAAGAGGCCTACCGGGGATTGCAACAACATGCTCTGTGCCACAGGGGCTGTGAAAATTGGGGGCTTTGGGACATGCTTTAAAAGGTGGCAGCAAAAAAGTCGGCACTAGGGGGGGCTTTCTTTTCTTGACTTGAGACGAGTCCAAGTCCCGTTCATAAAACCAATCAAATGCCTGATCAATCTGCCCGGAACGAAGTAAACAATGAAGTCACCAAAGCTGGGATTCCTTCCCCCGTGGTTTAGTCTCTCCTTTTTTGTTTGGGTCCAGGGGGGGAGGCTGGGTGTCTTTTCCATGTCAAGCATGTCGAAGGGACGTGAAAATGTCAGATTGATGTGGATTTGTTCCACAGCTGCGATTGCTAGGGAACGCAAGGCTTCCTTCCCTTTGCATGTCGCTACCAGTCCGATGCAAGGCTTACCTTCAAGTCTTAGAAAACAAGACCGCCGTTGCCTTACCATTTTAAGGCTGAGGCAGACTATTCAAAATACTTCAAGGTGGCCCTGTTCCTTTTGCGGAGATCATGGACCCTTTGGTCTGGGGGTGGGAGTGCGAGGTGCGCGCCGCGTTTGAGCGCCCCTGGCCTTTGAGTCTCGGGCCTTGACCTTTCGCGTGACCTGAGATGCTCGAGCCAACTCCGAGCGCGGTCGGTCGCTCCGAAGGCGCGCCTTGGACACGCGGCCGGGCATCCTTGGCACTGGCAAGTGTCCGCTGCCCGGCTGTGCCATCGCATCAATGTCGAGACGTAAGTTCCAAGAGGGCAGGGCTCTGCTTTGACTGCAGAAGATTCACCGCCCCGGGCCAGCCTCAGAATCTATTCAACTGCTATTCGGGGATGTTGAGGCTCACTTTTTGAGGGCTGACATGGCTGACATAAACAGCATGGCACGATCCTTCTGAGCAAACGCATGATGCCAACTTATCAAACTTACTTCACTCAGAAGGGTAATGCCGAAGCAGTTCGAGGACACGAGTACACCGTACAATGCTGCGGCCCCGGCATCCAGCGCTCGAACTCCCGGCGCTGCACTTCTGTGAAGCGCTTTGACAGCACCGAGCGGCGGACACGCTGGTCCAAGCCTCAGGAGGAAAACTCCCAACTTGGATCGCAACAGTCGCTCTTCACTCGAGTTGGGTGCGTGTTTTTCCTGGGGGACCCGACAAAATGGTGGTTTTCCTTTTGGTCTTCCTTGAAACCATCCCAAACGGGGTACCCTCAAAGAACGACACCCCCAAATTGCGTAAACATCGCCTGTAGATAACCGTGATATTCCAGGAAAAACAGCCATAGCTTTTTTCATCGTCACGATACCGGGCACCACACGCTGGAGAAGCTGGTGCAGCCCTGGCATTGCTTCCAACTCGGGCGATGCTTGCCACTCAAACGCATACGCGCACGACAGCTCGAGGATCGCCCTTGCCTTGTAACAGGCTTTCCCCAGATTTGCCGAGACCTCAAGAAGAGCTGCATACACCTCTGCAATCTGAACGAACGAGGAGAAAACGAGCAGATTTCCTGTGGCTCTGCCGTTGAGCAATGCTCCTGAAACAGACTATATCTTGGCTAGGCTTGCATCACCAAACACTATGACCTCTCTTGCAGCCAAAAGCATAGACTCTCATGTCAGCAACCCACAGCTGCGAGTCCTTGCTTTTGTCTTTTTGGCTTTCGGCGAAGCTGACGGCCGGATAGTTGCAGTGTCCCAAGTGCCCCGAGTCCAACAATCCTTCGCGCCTAGCCAAGTTCTATGTCGTTGGCGCCTGACACAGGCACAGCGCCAAATGAGCGATCCCATAGAAATCGGCACGTCGTTGACTTTTTTAGAGGGTCCCCTTTTGGTTGGTTTGAAAGGGAATCCCCCCCAAAAAAACAGAAACCAGTCACTTTTGGGGGGGTGCCCCTATGAGACGAACCCAAATGGAAAGGAACAAACCCAGCCACCGCCTTGCGGAGCTCCGCGGCAAGTTTCCTGCACTCTCCGAACTCAGAATACGCGCTCCGCCGAACTTCGACACATCACACGGCCTGCCATTGCCATGCCGCCACTGCGAAATTCCTGCAACTCTTCTGCCCTTTGATTCGCTTTGATATAGTCCCCTGTGTGTGTGTCCCACTCTCTTTCCCCCCCCCCTTCTCCCTCTTTGCTTTCTACCTTGTTTGTTACATTTGCTATTTATTTAAAGCAACATCATATCCACAATAATATGCGGTCAATTGACAGCTCGGTTCTGAACCGCACTGTGTCCAACAGCCCTTTCGTGACAAGTCCGCTTTGTGCATGTTGCGTGTCTTTTTGGTTGCGGCCATCGCAACAACACCCCTGACCCATCGCTTTTGTCCCAAATTGGCAGGTTGCCAGCTCACACTGCGATTACCGCAGTCGCATACTGTTGTGGCTTTGTCATTTGTATCATTCGCGCATTGAAGTTGCAGGCAGTGTCTGCTGCTCCGAAGTCAGCCTGCTCTTGGACAATCCGAGGTATGCGGATAGCAGTGACCCAGCAACGTCCTGATTTGGAGAGTTGGCCTTCGAATGGTCGATGAGTGTGAGTTGTTGGTGTGAGCCCTACGACTCACCAGCTATGCGACGAAGATGGCGATGCACCCCCAACGACTTCGCACCTTTCGCAAGATTGCTGATGATGCGACATGTGACTCCCAAGTGTGGGCAGCTACCAAGCATGCAAACCGATGCACAAAAACAATGCTGAGATGCTGATGATGTACAAAATACAGACTATTCGCCATTTGAGCCGTGCCAAATACTCTTGTGTAAAAAGCGGTCCTATGAACCTGCTTGCGCGGACCCTTTCGCGATGCTTTCGCGACCCCATGTTTTGCTTTCGCGGGTTTTGCTTTCTTTAGAATTGCTTTCGCGACGCTTTCGCGGCGGACTGTCACACAGCATGCAGGCCTTCGCGTGTCTTTCGCGGCGGGACCTTCTTTGGTTACTTTCGCGACAAGCCTTCGCAAGCTCTCGCGGCGAGCGTTTTGGCTTTCGCGGGGATTCTATAGGACACCCCACTTTACTACTTTGTATTGTCAGGGTTTATGGCGCTGCTCATTTGATGCCAATCGCATTTGGTGTTGATGATACAGGAATGGGCAAATGTCAGCCCTGCGGCTATGGCTGAAAGCTGCTGCCGAAGCTGCTGCCGAAGCTGCTGCTGCTGCTGCCGAAGCTGCTGCTGCAACAAAATAGATAATACATCGCGCGTGCCCAATTCTTGCAACCTGCTGGCAATCCGTATAACCTATCCCGGGACCATGAGCACATGGGGTGATGGCAGCACAAGCACGAAACCAGTTCCCAGCCTTTCTGAGCTGGAGCAACATGAGGCTTTCATAGCCTCCACAGCCACCGGACATTGGCTGGTCAGTGTGGGATGCAGCTTTGCTTTGCGGAGACTGCCTTCAAGACCAACAACATGCCGGCCGGCGATCCGTGTCACTCCGCGCCTGGTGTCTAATCACCTCATTCGGCAACACATTTGCATAGTTGCAAGTGAGGCAGCTCGCATCCCTTGGCCAGTTTTCCGCCTTGCAAGCCTTTCCTGCCTTTGAATCCTTTTCTGACTTGCTGCACCTGTCTGGTTATGTATCGAAATAGGGGACCTCAAATTGTGGGTTTCCTGCTGATTTTCCCTTATCCCAAACAACCAGCTTTCTTGTAATTGGTGGTTTCGGATTGGCGGTTTCGAGGTGTTCTGGGGTGGTTTCCCATTTACCCTCTGCAAGAAGGTTCAAATCCCTGACCACTAATCCGAACCACCGAGTAAGGGTTACCCGTCTCTGCCTGCCTGCCTGCCTGCCTGCCTGCCTGTCTCTGCGTCTCTATCTTTTTTGGCTTCTCAATGGCCAGCTTGCTAGCGAACTAACTGACTGACAATCTAGGTAACTAGCTAACTACGCAACTAACGAGCCAAACAATGGCACCCTCAAAACCAGCCCCACCCTGCTGACTGGTCTGACCGAGGCACGCCGGCGCCACCGGCGCGACCGGCGGTGGGCGTGGCCCTGGTGGTGGTGGTAGTGGTGGGCACCTCGGTTCGACGGTTCGACCCGACGTCACTCCGCTTGGGCCGCTTGGGAGCTGTGGGCGTCCAAATAGAAGGGACCATGGTGGCTTTCTTTTGGGTTTCCTCCAAAAACCCCAACCTCAGAAAAGGTACTCTGAAAAAAAAGCCACCCCCCTGTCCTCAGAACCTCAGAACCTCACAATGCCAATGGCCCATAAGCCAGCTATCGGTGAACATCAAGCAATCTAATGCACCTTCTGAGCCCCGCCCTTTTGACGGGCACATCCACACACCGAGGTCAAAGCATACGCATTCCTTGCTGGACCATACAATTTGAAAGGGATAAGTTAGGGATAAGGCTAAAAAGGAAACACAGAGTGGTGAGTGGTCCTTGGCCATTGCATGACCCGCCTGCCGTACCCTTCTCACGCCTGGCCGGGGCTGCAGCCGTGCCATGTTGCTGAAGCCTAGCGGCAAGGGACAAGACATTGGAGCAATGAGGATGGCTTAGATCGAACCATTTGGCAAGGTATTTGACTCCTACAGTTAAACTCATAGCAAACCTGACCCAATACAAAGGTAGCAAGGTATTCGTCAGACTGTTGCAATGCCCCTCCTTGGCAGGTTTCTTGAGAGGTCCACTAGGTCTATTCGTGTGTCAGCAAAAAGAAAGTTGCGGAAGCATCACAAACAACCAAACTAGTCAATGATGGGGAAGGGTCTACCGAAAACCATGTCAAAGCATCTACCATCAAAAATGATTTTGGATATGGCTCAAGTGTCCGTGCCGCACAGCATCATTTAGGTGGGAATTTACGTCCACCAACCACTTTTGAGGTTGGTCCCCCAACAGAATTCATAGCCACTTGTGAGTCTGCCAAAACTGAGAGCCGCGCAGTTGACGTTGCGGGCAATAGCAAACATCAAGGACATCCTTAGCGCAGCTCGCAAGTGGCCCTGATCACTTGCAAACCGTTTCCATCGCGCGCTGGGGCAGCCGCATACTTTCTTGGGGCAAGAGATGCATTTTGGAAGAGGACGTTCTGACCAGGGGCCAGCAGGACATGCCTAGTCTCGCAACTTGAGCAATATACAGGAGTGATGCTCTCTGCGACGCGAGCGCGCGTGCATCGTGCTAACTTCAATTGAGCAACTCATGAACTGCACCTTCCATGGCTTGAGACCTCTTGCAAGGCCAGCTCCATACATCATATTTTCAATGCATGCTTCTGAACACGTGCTATTTCAAGATCTCAAGACTTTGCCTTGGAGCGCAACCACGATTGTGGCTTCCGGCCTTCTTGGAAGGAAGAAGCTGACATCTTGGCGCTCACACACACACAACCACACACTTACTCGGCACGTTCAGCCCTGTACTTTGCCTTCTGGCTTCGGATCAAATTGACTCAAGTTTGCGGGCTCAATGCCCGAAACTGCGGCCGGCTCCTCCATGCCCTCCTTTGGCATTCCTTTGGCATGTGCTGCCAGTGCTTGGCTCACCACCTGCATCCAATCCTCGCACTCGGGTTTCTTTTGCACGTCCATGCCCAAGGTGAAGGCCGCCAGTGCTTGACTCACTAGGCGGATCGACTCAAAGGCAGCTTTCGGCTGGGGAGCTGATAGTCGCGGATCGCACACCGGATCGCGGGACACCCGAGATCTTCTGTCCGGGGGCAGTGGCAGCACCAGGCAAGTTGGCTCCCGGTCCCTGGATGCTATTGGACCGCCTTTGACTCGCGCACCTGCGTGCATCAGCTGCAAGCACTCACCACCTTCAAAGTTGTAATACTCCAAAGTGTTGTGGTCGTCCAAGTGCCTTCCGCAATGCATTAGGATCTGCTGCTGGGCAGAGACCCCGCAGAAGTCTTCCAAACCCTCCTTCAGCTGCAGGATGGTCCGCGCCTTCTGTGACCACATCCTCTTTTGAGAACCGGGCGGCCACGTCTGCAGGATGCTGAGAAATAGCTCCGAGCCGCGACAGCGGTGCTTCCGGGCACTCGAGTTCCATTGGGCTCTGGGAGCCTGCGGCCCAGATGTGGCCACCTGGGCAGAACCGTTCATGCCATTACAAGCCGCGATCTGCAGCACGCAGCTCTCATCGCGGATGCCGCAGTCACACAAACGACATTCGTTTGCCAGGGTTCTTCCACCATTGGTCAAACGAAGACTGTTCAGTGGCCGCCCCGTGATCTGTGAGATCTCTTGTTTGACATGGATGACCAGGTCACAGGCTCTGGCTTGCACATAGAATGGCTCAGGGGCATCCTTGAAGCCGTAGATTGGCAGCTCGAAAGGCCGGGAGTCTTTTCCGGTCCCAGAGACATGTATACACTGCCGTGCTTCAACACCACTGTCCAGCAGAGTTCGCCTCAGTGTTCAATATGAGCACTGAATGCCAAACATTGATACAGTCACAAGAACTCATGTTGCCAACAATGATTTGAGCGGTCATAGGTCACAGTGACCCAAATAAGCTGTGTCCATCGAGCATCCTCCAAAAACACGCACAGACAAACAAACAAACAAACAAACAAACAAACAAACAAACAAACAAACAAACAAACAAACAAACAAGCAACACACACACCCACAAACAAGCAGCCATACATGACAATACATTACAGTACATGACACTACATTACATCACATTACATCACATCACATTACGTGCCATGATGTGCCATGACATGACATGACATGACATACATGCATTACATACATGCATTACATACATGCATTACATACATACATGCATACATACGTACGTACGTACGTACGCACGCACGTATGTACATACATACATACTATAATTACATTGCAGTACGTTACATTACATTACATAACTTTACATAACCTTACATTACCTTACGTTCCATTACATTCATTCATACATACATGCATACATATATATTACACACATACTTTACATTACTTTACATTACATTACAATATATTTACATTACATTTACATTACATTACGTTGCATTACATTCATACATACATACATTACTCATCTTACATTACCTTACCTTACATTACATACACACGTGCATACATACATTACATACATTACATTACGTTACATTACATTACATTACATACATTACATACATTACACACATTACACACATTACACACATTACATACATTACATACATTACATTCTGAAATACCCCAACGGGCAGTGCAGCTATCTTTTCCTCGACTCAAGGGCCCTGTTTGGGCCGAACGGCATCGAGTGGTTGGGTTGGGCATGCTCACTCATTGACATCCTTCGGGGGGGCCTCCATTACTTGCGAAAGAAATTGCTATTTCCATTGTGTTTCGTCAATGGATCTGCCACCATGAATTCTCCGGGGGCCCAGTGGGTTGAGCAATTCAAAGCTCTAGCTGAAACGCAGATCACAGACACATCAATCTGGGCCCGTCTGCAGTGCCCACTCGAGCTCCGCCAGGGCGTCGTCCATGGCCAAGGCCTCACTCCCCAAAGTGGCTTTCACCACTCGTCGCAGCTTGTGGCTGCGCCAAGAATTGATGCTGAAATCACCACCAGCTCCAGTCTGAACGGCCTTGTCCACCAGGGCGATGATGAAACCACCCTGCGACTTGCTCTCCACGTTGGCCATAGAGGCATCAGCCACACTCATCCAGATGGCTTGGTGTGGCTCAAGCGGAAGCACTCTGAGCTCCGCGTCCGGCGTTGCCTTGATTTCCTTGACCGTCTTGTTCGTCATGAGGATGTGCTCCACCGTCGGTCCTGGGCGGCTCCACGACATAGCCATTGCACAGGCTGCTCCAACATCAGGTCGGCCTTCTTTTCCGACCCATAGGAGTGCACCGCCAACACCTCTCAGCTGGCTGATCTCCTTGTCCGAGAGCAGTGAATCTTTCTCCTTCTCCGTGATGTAGCGGCGCATGCTCACCTTAATCTCATAGTCGGCCATCTGCTTGAGGGTCCGCCCGATGTAGTCTGCCGATCCCATGTAGACGTCCTTCGATTTACCAAACTTCAGCCTTGTCCGGAGGACACCCATATCCTCCTGGCGTCGTCCGATTCCTCCTTGACAGAAATCGTCAACGTCCAACAACACTACTCCGGCAGCTCCCAGTACTGTCCAGGCGCTCGTTCCTCATTCAGCAGCTCCAGGAAGTAGAGGCACGGGTCGAAGATCGACTCCTTGTAGTTCAGCTCCAGCAAATGTCGCCTCACCAATTTCCTCCAAACTGCAGGTGCGTTCACCAGTCCATACACCGCTGCCCGGACCTCCACCAATGCCCAGCTTGGGCGTCAGGGATGCCAGTAGGAGGCATCGTAGCATAGAGCGGTCCTTGTTCTCGCTCGTGAGGGTCCGACTGTCCAAAGGCTGATATCCATGCTGAACAGGTGGTAGCGGCTGCTCGCGATGATCTGCAGGCACAACATCACCGTTGTTGATGATGGCGTCGGTGCATAGCGCTCCAGCTGTGCTGCATCTTGGTCTCGATGCCCAAGTAGGATCCACCTCGCTTGGCTTTCCAACCCTCACCGACCTCTCCAGCCTTCTTGGTGAAGATGAAGCGGGAAGGCATTATCCGACCAGGATGCTCTCGTCGGACTCGGTCTAGCTCCTTGGCGTCCTCCACGATGCTAATCGCGTTGCTGTTCTCCAAATTGCTGATCTCCAGCAGCTTCGCCGGTACTCGCTCCTCAGGGGTGAGTCGTTGGTAACTCAGTTCCTCGTTGCTGTCCACCTCCGTGAGCGCCTTCTTCGCCGCCGCACGAATCTCCTCCGCCTTCTTGCAGGATTTGTCGGCGCTCTGGGTCGTCTCATACTCCCCGTGGTCGTTGGTCAGTTCGGCTGTGATGTCCCACACACCCGTTGAGCAGGAGAGTACCCTGACCGGTTGGTCATCGTCTGCAGCGCCCAGGATACTGAGTGAATCATGTTCTGGACCTCCTGAAGGTCAGTCGGTGGCCGCAGCGCTCTTGTGCAATAGTAGACCTGCTTGAAAAGGCCACCCCGACGCTCCACAGTGCCATTCTGGTACGGAGAATCCCGTGCAATCGGCATAGGTTGGATATTGCACTCTGCCAGCCCTTCTTGAAAATCACCACCAACAAACTCGTTGCCGTGGTCGTGGATGAGGAAGGCCGGGCTGCCGAAGACTCGCTCGCGCCCAGTGCTGCAGGGCTGTCGGATGCACCATTGTGAAGGTGCTGTAGAGTCACCGGGCGCTCCTCCTTCTTGCTAATTCCATGGAGGAAACGCAAATCAATGCCCACGACCACGGAGAAGTCGTAGGTCCGTGGCGTTGCAGCGGGTAACCTTGTGGGCTGTCGTTTTTCTCGAAGGCATCCTTCGCATCGAAAATCCGTCACCACGTAGTCGATGATGTCTTTGCGAACTCCGGCAGTGCGTAGAAGTCGAACGAACTCCTTGGCTTGTGGGTGTCCCAGATTGATGTGGCTCCGCAGCACCGCTGATTTCTCTGCCGTAGTGACACCTCTCCCTCGGCGTAGGTCTGGGTCATGACCGGGCACGTGTAGGACCACCACCACATAGGTGTAGTCCACTTCCAAGCGAACAGGCTGACCACCTGTTCCTTGCTCCAGTTGCAG